CCCCCTCCCCCCCCCCCCCCGGCAATTTTTCTCCGACAATATTTTATCTTGATGCGGAACAAAATACTCATTCCTTATCTAGCACCCAAATTTCAGCAAAATATGGAAAATATACGGATGTTTCTAAACTTACTCTTAATACTTTATAGCCGTACATACAAATCAAAATGTTCTTATGATTTTAGAACAGACGAAAATAACCCGCCTCAGAATTCCGCGAAAAACATTTTTTATATCCGTATATCATAATGATCCATATGATGTGATATGAAGAAAGCTTACCTATTATAACAGGCACAGCAACCAATAATAAGCTGGTAATCCAGAGGAATTTAGAGAATAGAGAGAGAAGTTTCCCAATCATCGCCAAACCCTTTCTTTTGAACCGAGTCGGTTTGCTTGACGACTGAAGAAAAAAACCTTCGATCACTGTGAATACACCTTGTCCACCTTAAACCATTGCATAAATAGAATCAATCAATATTCATGCATTGATGCTTAATGAAGAGGAGATAATAAAATATGAAATAAATAAATATTTAGATTTTTTGGTCCTTTGCATTTTATTTTCTCTGTGTGTATGTTATAGCGAGCGATTGTATAACGTATAATGTATTTATATAAGCGGACATTTCGATCATTTAGTTATTAAAGCATTTTGCTAATACTATTATACGTTATAATTGAAATAGTTCGATTGCGTGGCACACATGGGGACACCCCCCATTGAGCCTCAACTGGAGTTTGTATAATCGGAATTCCTACTTACTAGGCGTTAAAGCGAAGACGATCAATGCAGGCCTATGACAAGGCTTATATTTAGCGATTTAGTCAACAATAAAAAGTTACTTTTGCCTTTTGCAATCCGAATACCGAATACATATCCGACGAATATTTCATAGATTTTGTGTGTGTGTGTGTAATTTAAGAGGAAATTTGCTTGTAGATAAAAAAATTAATTAAAATTTTGGCTAAAAATTTGCGGAATATTTATCTTTCTTTTCTTGTTTTTAAATTAATTGGACAAAGAATTGATAAAATAATTGAAAAAGTGTATTGGATGAATGAGTGAAAAACTGAATACAAAAAAAAAACAAAACAAAAAAAAACAAACCCT